TGGTCGTCAAGGACTTCCCATGACCGAACATGCCCAGAGGTCGAGGGACCTTGGTCGGAGTGAACGAGACCTTGACGCTCAGTATTGCCCTCTTCGGGAACCGATCCTTGGCCGTCATTGTCCCGGGACCCATGGTCAACAGACCCTTGGTCCTCGAGACCTAGATCGAGCCCTTGATCAGCTTCACCGATGGACCTTACAATAAAGCGTCCTTGTCTACTGTTCGCTCGAGACCCTTGTCGCCTACTGCGATGGCTCATTTTGCTCAATAAAGAACTTACTTCAAATGCTGTTGTTACTGGTTGATTGGTCAGACGTGAGGAACCGGGATCAGGTCAATAGGAACGCCAAATCAGGAGAGCCGGTCGGGATCAGGTCAGAGGGAATGCCAAGTAGAGAGAGCCGGTGAGGAGCAGGTCAGAGTGGAATGCGGAAGCCGGAAAACCGGGAAAACTGGATTCAAACGCTTCTTATCCTTTACTCCTTCTCTTCTCCTTTCCGAACTACCGCTGCCACCACTTTACCTTCATAATGCCTCCTGACCGGCGTTACAAAGTGACACCACCTCCACGGCCGGTCCCCACTTCTAGTAGTGAAGATGAAGAGGCTGAAACTCCTCCAAAAATCATCAGATCCATCGTCCAAGAACCTGATCTTCGCCAACGGATCGAGCAAATTTCTAAAGAAAAGGGACAAGAGACAAAGAAAACATCAGCACCATCAACCTCCAAAAGAGAAGTAACAAGAACAGTTCGGCGTGTTATCAAATTTATTGTCAAACCTAAAACTCCCGCTGTTCCTCCTCCTGAAGTGCCAAATCCTCCTAACCTTTCGGCTCCATTGAAGTCCAAACCTATGAAGAGAAAGCGTTGCAATCGCTGTAAGAAGTATGGACACGTTAATCGTGATTGTCCGTTTAATCCCAGAAACATCAATTTGATACCTGCACCACCTGTGAATCTTCTGAGAGAACACATCAACAGCCCTCTCTTTGATCCAGACTTGGAAGATGACTTGGACTACTCAAGTTTCTGTTCTCCATTTGACGTTCTCTCCATTCATTAGTTTTACTTTCGTGTTTTAAATTGGAATAAATGTATCCCTGAATTTCTCACCCTTGAGTCTACATTCCAATGCTACCAAATTAGAATTTTCGGAAATACCAACCTTCTCCATGCATCGTCTGCTGTCTAGTCAACATGTCAACATCACTACTCTGGAGACTTTGCATCTCACTTCAAAATGATCTTCATCTCCGTTGACGTCTTCCTACTAAGCTGTACATCATGGATACACTCAAAGTTACGTAAGACAAATAATTAGTGTTAAGTCATAACCAGAAGTAAGCAGTCTTAAACTGCAGTGGTGTTGATAGGTCAGCTAGTTAGGTTAACTTCTTTTACACCACAGGTTCAGAAAATACTTAGTTTCAAACAAGTGTCAGAACGACATTTACTGGTCAAAGACCTCTTTCTTTCTTTTCAGATTTTCTACGCTTCAATCCAACAGCACCTCCTCAGCCAACAAACCGCTCAAGCCAATTCAACGATCCGCTCACTTCAAATCTACAATTTAAATGCTGTGAAATGTGGTTGATCGGTCAGGTCGTAAAGTCCTACCCTTACCCAAATGGGGTCACTGCATTTCCTTTTCCATGCGTTTATTAAGAATCAATTGATCACAATGAGGCTGTTTACCAGGTTGTACAATCCTGCGTATTTTACCCAAATGGGAACACTTCATTTCGGGTCAATTCATTCTTCCCTAAACTCTTTTAAAAGAGGGAGTAATGTTATGAAGTTGGTATTACTACCACCACCCGCGCATGCTCCCTGACAATCCCTTGTATCCTAGCAATAGGACCCTCATCGGTTGCTCAGTGTATCTCTGACTGTCCTTCGGAATACACCTCTCCCAAACCTCTCCTGCCTCCTTATTCCCTACACACCCGCTACACAAAAATATAGCAGTAGTAATTGCAAAAACTATGAGCTATAGCCTAACCGAACTAGTTTTTGCAATTGCTACTAACTTTTAGTCTATTGCCATAAGCTGTTCCGTATAGCGGTGAACGGAATTGGCCCAGAAAAGTCTGCCCTCTAGAGCTTCGCTCGCTTCGCGAGCTCAGCAAATTATTTCAAGAGGAGAAACGGCCAATGTAAGATTATTCAATTAATCCCTGAAAGATCGACTGTGCACATGTATGTGGCGTGATGGTGTGGGTGCAGGCCGACTCAGCCGGCGCCGCGCAGGTGCACATGGTCGAGCCGGACGACGAGGAGCCCCTCCCGGACCCCGATGCGCCTGTAGTGGAGCAAGTGCATGTTCTGCGGAGCCGGTCAGGCGCTTCATGCAGAGGCTGCGGAGCACTGCACGACCGCGCGGAGTGTCCGTACTGGCGTACGGTGTGCCATGCGTGTAAACGCACGGGACACATTTCGCGGGTATGCGAAACGAAAGGGGAACAGGACGCGCAAGTGCATTATTGCAACGAGACAAGTGGCTGGTCACAGGAATCGTCCGCAGATTTTTTCTTTAAGGGGGAGGGGAGGAAGTTGGTTGGGCCAGAGACAGGCGAGCAACAGCCACGGCCTCGGACGTACCCCCAAAGACAGTCAACGTAGCGGTCTAAGGACTACGCCAGCCCCTACCGGAGAGAGGCTGCGAAGTAGTGCTGCGGACGCAAACAGCCCCATCGGATTTCCGCGGCGGCGCGCGACAGCGTCGACAAAAGAGAGGACCGTCGAGAAGAAATAAATCATATTACATTTTGTTGGTATGTTCAAAACTTAAGGAGGGAGGTATGCCGTGTCGGCTGCTAGGGCTGGCCGCTAGCATGGTCGGCGGCTGCGGCCAGAGCCATCCGGCCGGCCAAAAGAGTGCGCTCGACGGCGACCGAGCCAAGCTGGAGAGCTCACTCTCACACTCACTCTTCGACAACCACCACTACTCAACCGGCCTCAACTTTAGGCCGGTCACTACTCAAGGGTATTGTTTAAGGGTCACTCGACGTCCCCGACCCCTACAGGGTTAAATATGTAATACTTTCACTTTTACTAATGTTTCAAATGGTAGCTGTGTGCGAAACTCTCGCCAGGACGATTTCGGCAAGAAATATTGCGGTGGCCGTGGAAAGGCCGGCGCTTAGCACAAAAACCGTTCCAATGGGTAGCACCGCCGTCGTATTCGGAGGTGGGTGCAGCCGTTGTGCCTCGCGGGCCTTGGCCAGCCTGCTGAGGTGCTCGTGCCGCGCTACCCAGGCCTCGATCAGGCCCGCTGATTGCAGCCTCCGGATGGTATCATCGAGGACCCCGCGCAGCGGCCACGATCGCCTGACGAACAGCGCGAACGATCGCTGCAGCAGGTTGTCCTCCAACTCGTAGCTGCAACTCGTCAGGCACTTGACGCCCGCCGCCAGCTTGGTGATCTGCACTCATATCAACACTGTTTAGATCTACTAGCTATATGTACGCCAGACCACGTCTCGCGTAACAGGCTTCGCGATAGCTCACGAAACAC